TGCTGAACCCATCACTTGGGGAAGGACCTGGGTCAGTTCTGTTTGTGTGGGTATGTGCAAGTGTTTTTTCCTCTTAAAAACAAGGGAAAGGAATGAAACGGCACAGCCACACAGCATCCCTTGCATGTATTTCAGGCTAGATGATGGAAAGGGCAGAGCACTGCTCTGAGAATGAAGGTGCCTCTTTATTATGCGGCGAAGTAATTATTTCCCAGTCAGTAGATAGGACTCCAGCCACTTGGCACTTTCTTACATGCTATTTTCTGATCCAAAAGAGCAACTTGGGATTTTGTGATAATTCAAGCAATCAGATGAGCTCATGCACATGGCATTCATTCACTAGAAATGCCACACAGATCCCATTCAGCCTCAGCACTCGTAAATCCATGTGACACTTTTATCTATTTATAAACTTTTAACAACAGGTTATGATTGTTATGCAAGCCATTTTCCAGGGATTAATAAGCAGCTTGTGTTGATGGCAGCGAGAAGGGCCATTAACTGCTCTGGGACAGTCATTAATCTGTAGTAAATGGTCAGCATCTGGATAATTTCTACGTAATTAAATAATCAATACTGCCTTTTGATTCAAATAACTGGAGAATTGTGTTTCAAATTTATCTTAGCTTAGGGTGTTCTTAATTCTTTTAGTTTACAACAGGGCAGGAAACAGGCACATAGGAAAGTGAGAACTTACCTTGGCGTGATACAAAACATTTCAAGTGATCAAAATATAGTTCAAACTGCCCACCAAAAACTAGTAATTGGACTGGTCTCCATTTCCCTCTCTGAGCAGTAGTGTAACTCACTTCTCTGGTTCTGGTTTGTTCTGATCTTTGCTATTGAATCCAGTGGTCTGTAGGGGTGCTGACAGATGCAGGTAATGGTGCCCATTACAAACCCAAGCAAGAACCACACCACGGTGGTGCTGCTGCCTTCTCTGGGGAACCCTGCAGAAATGCCCAGGCAGGCAGAGTTCATCATAGGTGAGAACAAGTAAGTGGGAGTAAACAATATTAATTTCAAAGGAAAGAAAAAACTTACT